TAACATGTTTTATTTAATTACTTGAGAAATCCAAATAAAGTGGCATTTTGATTCATTTATAAACAAATCAGAAACAAAAAATCATAAGGTCTATTATGTTTGATAATATTTATAATTATTTACTAAACAACATTTTATATCCATGTATTGCTTAGATTAAAATAAGAAATCTAGAATTTTAGTTTATTCTAATTTAATTTAGGTTGTAATTTAATTGATCAACTAGAAAAAGCAAGATAGATTAACAAATAAATCCTTTTTTTTTTGAACTTTTAATAATATTTATTATTCGATTTCACTCTGACACAATATATATAAATATCTTTATTTAATATAATGAATTAATCTGACGAGGTTGAGGTATATTTAATAATTCCTTTAGATAACTCTTCAAGTTTGCGATCCAAAAATAATAGCAGGACTAAATAAATTTATTGTGTACACCATAAAGGGAATGGATAAAAATGGATAATTTGATATTTAGAGAAGATTTAGTGATTTTAAGACAATTCGATCCTTTTTGCTGACAAAATGGCCAGGATGTTATATACCACCTGTTCCACCAAGAAAAGCTTTTGTATTGGATTATATTAAAATCTTTAGGGTAATTTGGAGTAATAATTTATTGATGAAAGAAGGCTGATGCTTGAAGATTTCCTCAAGAAAATAGCAACTCTCAAATATCTATGGTATTCAGAAGAGTTTTAAGTTTTCTTAAAGACTCCTGGTGAAATTGAAAAAGTATTATTTGACGTCATAAAAGGCTTTGTTATCTGTTCCTAAAATAACAAATGAAGAAATTATCAATAAATATCAAGACGCATTCTCTGATCTATCAGGAGTAAATTATAAAATTATTCTTATTTAGAGAGAAATTAATAGAGAGATTATATAGAAAATTAATGATTTTAAAGCATATATTCAAAAAATTTCACCGATGGTTCAAAATTTCAAGTAAATTGCAAAAAATATAGCCGAGGCCAAATCTTCTTTTTAAGCATCTTTAATTCATTTCATAACAGTGTTTATTCCAGAATATGAAAATAATGTTTTATTGGAGTATGTTGAATAAAAAGAGAGATTAATATTTGCTAACTTGATTTAAAATGAAGATGCCTAAGGGCTAATTAATTAATATGTAAAGCATTTTAATCAATAATTAAGTGTGATCTCTTGAAAGAACCTAAGTTTTAAGAACTATATTAAGAAGTAAGAAAGGAAGGAAAATAGTTGAAAGTATTTCATCATCTTAAATTAAAAAGGCATTTCTTGAAACATTTGCAGAAAGAGAGAAGTATGAATCTTAGAAAGCAAATGCAGAATCACGTTAAAAAGAATTATAGTTGGAATTATAGGAGGTATTAGCAGGAAAGACTACAATTAGAACTTTATTTTCAAAAGGAAAAAAAGAAGACCATATTACTAAGTTATAATAATAAATAGCTGATGTTGGAAAAGAAATAGAAAGTTATTAATTCATCTGTGATATTCTTACTGTACTTGTTGGATATGTTGAAATTGATAAATTTAAAATGGAAAAACAGTTTTAATATTACAACATGATCAAAAATATTATTTCTTATGAAATTAATCTATCAAAAATTGCAGAAGAATTTTGGAGCAAAGTTTTGAAAAGTGAAAATATGTAATAATAATAATGATAAAATCATAATTAATTTTAACCAATTAAACGATATGACTATTATTTTATTGTTTCTAAACGTAAGGAGCTTTCTTAATACATTTGTTAAGTGACTTTGATTCTTTCAAGTAATTATTGTTCTAATTTTTCTAATTACTCTAATTCATCTTGTTTTGACATTGTAGCTTGGAATTCATCCTCAACTTTTTTTTAATAGTTTTTTTAGGCAAAAACTTATTTATCTAATAAAAATTTTTATATTTTTTCTGTTTAAATTTATTCCATCTTTTTGATTCTTTAATATGATTTCTAATTTTATGCTTCTACTTGCCTAATAGTTTTATGGAAATCTTATTATATTCTTGTTTTAAATTCTCTTGTTTATAAAATTCTCTATTAAACACTATACATAAATTTAATTGATACATTCTTCCTTATTTCCCTTTGCTTTGATCAAGAATTTATTAATGTAATTCTCTTTGCTTTTATATTTCTTGTTTTCTTTTATCAATTAATTCTCTTTAGATCCGAGAATATCTTTCCTTCTAAGTCTCCTTTTCGAATTTATTTTATTTACACATAATTATTTTTTGTGTATTTTTTTCAAGGCTTTAGGTCTTATTATAAAAATTTGATTACTTTCAAAATATTTCTTTATTCTGTAAGTTGCAATAATTAGACTCTAGCTTTAATTTTTTAAATATTATCGTCTAACAATTTATTTGTTTAATGAACCTCTGGATATCTTTAGTTAATTAATTCTGTATTTAACTAATTATATAGCTCTGATTATTTCTATTCATTGTTGTTATTATTTTAATAATTTTAGACTAGAGAATTTGCCCATTCTATTTGGCTTTTTACTCCTTAATCAATCTCTTTAAATTCATTCGATTAAGTAACTTACTCAAATATTTTTTACAAATATTCATGTTATCCTTCATCTAATTGCTATTCAATTGAGTTTAAATCAACTATTATTTACAATCCATCTTATTCTTGGTCTAAAAATTAAAATTTTTCATCATCTCCTTTGCAAATCAGAATCATTATTTAAATATAAATAAAAAAAATTATTTCATTAAATTTAAGTGTTAATCAAATTCCTATCAATTGAATTTTCAAATGAGAGGGTGATTCAAGTTTTTATTAAATTAAATTATCTATTGTTGTTTAATAAATCCCATGACTAATCTTAATTTCTTGAATAATTTTTATTAAAATAATAATATTGATGGGAAGTGATAATTCAAAGGCAAAAGCTCAAAAAAAATAGAATCCTCCTCCTTAAACTTCAGCTCCAAAGCCACCTCCAAAGAAGAGACCATAAGAGGAGAATGTATAAAATTATTTTCTATTATACAGAATTGGATGTATGATTTGATTTTACAATATTTGGCATCACCTATATGGAGAAACCCAATATCAGACTTTTTAGATGAACATTGTATTATTTTTGATGATGAAGAAGAGAATAAAATTGTCTATTAAGAGATTCATAAAGTACCAATGTATAATATGAAAAATAGAAATTCAAAAATATGATTGAAGCAATGATGGAATAATTAATGTAGGATATAGGAGTAGATGATGAAGAATATTTAAGAAAAGTAATAGAAATAGGATTGAAAAACAAAAAACATAAAAAGTATTTTGAATAGCTGCTTGTTGTGGAAAATTTCTTAGTTTTCAAAAAATTAATGTTGAAGAGAAATAAGGAGTTAGAATATGAGGCATTGAAAGAATTATAAAAAATAGATGTAAAGATATAAACTAAAATTTTGAAAGGGAGGAAAAAGTTTAGAAATGGATCTTAAGGTAAAATAAGCTGAATTAGAAAAAGAGAGAATGGAAATAGAACATGCTGTTGCAATGTCCATCGCAGTTGAATAATAAAAGAGCAAACTCTAAATTTAAGAAGAGGAAGAATTATAAGAAGCAATTAAAATGAGTTAAAAATTATATGAGCAATAACGTACTTATTCCATTATTTATTTCTAGAATCATAAATAAACAATAGTAATACAGAATAGCAATAATTGATTCATCAGTAACCTTAAGCTCCTTAATAATAATAATAAATCTTACCAGATTAAAAAGTAGAATCTGTTTTGATCTTTGATGATGAAGTTGCAGCAGAGAAAAATCAACCAGATATTGTTGAATAGAAGCAATAATAAATTTAACAGATAGATGAACCAAAATAATAAAAAGTTAAAGATACTCTTCCTTAAATTGTTCAAGAGAAAAAAGAAGTTTTAAGTTTAGCACAAGAAAGAGAAGCTTTAATGAATTAAGGAAATTAATTAAAAGAAAATCTTAAAGAAATAGTAATACAATTTTATTTATTATATTAGGAAGAAACATTTAAATAAAATATGAAGAATTAATAAGATTAAGAAACTTTAGAATAAAGAAAACTAAGATTACAATAACAAAGAGAATTAATCAAATAAAAGAAAATGAAAGAAAGAAAAGATGAATTAGAATAATACAAAGCTGTAATTATAGTAACAATAATAATTAGGTAGGGGAATAAGACAAATAAGTTTAAGAAGTGTAGGACAAAGAAAAAGGACCTTTAGTTGTTGATATGGTTTAAATTGAATTTATTTTAGAATGATTTTGTGGCCGATTAAAAGAGAGCTCAAGAACTTGAACTTAAAAAGTAAGAATTACGAAAAAGGGCAGAATTATTAAGAAAGATTAAATAAGATTAATAAGAATAAAGTTGAATTACAGATTTATAAAATATATAACAATTATGTTCATTGTTGTAACTGCATTTTTTATAGTAACTTGTTCACTTATTGATTCATTTTACTTATATCTTAATTTATCTTTTGTTCTTTTTCAACTTTAATAATTTATAATTTATTTATTAGTAATTACTTTTAATTATCTCTATTTATAATAAATTATTAGATCTAACTATTAAGTTTTTATTTAAGGACTTGTAATTCATTAATTTATTTTTTTGTTAGTTAATTCAACTTATTTTCAATTTTCTCAACATGTTATTTTTCCCATTTTTAATTTTCAACATCCATCTGTTCTTGCAATTTTTTTTAAACAAGATCTGCATCGGCATAACTTTATATAATTAAAAATTATACTGTCCAGCTCTGAATAATTAATTATATAAAGCTTATTTTTAAATAATATCTGAAGAAAACTTAATTTTTGGTATGGATTACTCCTGTAATTATTTTTATAATTATTCCATTTCCTCACTAGAATTAAAATATTAAATATACAAATGAAGTTAATAGATGGTATTTTCAGCTTCTTTAATTCTATCTTATTCAATTTTGTACAGATCTTCCCAAGCCTCATCAAATTCTTCAAGTTATAATTTATGTTAAAATTCTATCATTTATAACTATAATATTTTAGTAAAATACTTCTGCATCATATTCTTCAGCTTATTTTATTGACTTGTAAATTGTAGAAATTGATGATAAATCTTCAATTTTTTCTATGACTTATTAAGTTTATTTTAAATGACCCTTTTTTTTAGAATCCTCTCTCTTTATCTCTAATACAGATCTGGTATATGAGAATTAAATACATATAATCCTCAATTTATTCGAGTTTATAATTCTCCATATTCGTTAATATTAATGATAAATTCTAATTTGTTAAAAATTAAATAATCTAAGTTTTATCAACCAAGAAAAAAAATAATTTATTCATCATAATCAATTTAGTCTTGTTAGGAATTGATTAAAGGTTAATATTAGGGATGTTAGCCTATTTAAAAATTAATTAATAAGTAATCATAAAATTATCTAGTCTTTATTTAAATATATATCCAAATATTGATATTTATTATTATTATTTTTTATATTTATAAACTTTTCATATTGCACTTTATAATTCAATATCTTCCCAAGTTTTTTCATTTTCATTATCAATCTATTTATCAAGTTCTTTATCTAGATCTTCCTTTTTTTCAAGAAGAACTTCTTCTCTCAATACTTTTGTGTATTCTCTTCCTACATAGTAAATTAGCAAAGCAATGCTAAGTCCTGCAAAGATTATAATTCCAACTTCAGCATAAAGAACATTTTGATTATCTATTTAATTATTGGTTTCAAAAATATCTAAAAATTTATATAAAAATACCTTTTATTTTATGGAATTGTTTTCCTACAAATACGGCTAAAACTGTGCTGGGAAATCCAACAATCGTTTGAATTATAACAAAAGACTTAAAGCTTACAGTACTTAGCACACCCATTCCATAATTCATAATAAGTTATGGTGTAACACCTGACATTCTCATTAAAAATTGTGTTTTATAAGGCTTCCGTTGAGTTAACTTTTCGATTGCATTAAAAAATTTGAATTCCTAAAGTAACCCTTTTAGGAAGAAAGATAACTCTTTTCCTATGAAGAAGCTTGAATACTCACCAATCATTTTAGCCGCTGTAACGATTAAAATTGGAGTAATATAATCAGAGCAAGCATATGCAATTGCAAATTCAAATAAAGCAAAAGGCATCATCAACAGAATCATAGCAACACCCAAAATTAATAAGTTTATTCCAGCTTCTAAATTTATTTATTTGCACTATTTATATAATTATACTTACTTAATCAAAAAATGACAAAAACAACATTTAAACTCCCTAGTTATAATAAATGCAACAAATTAACAATCCAACTAAGATTAAGGGGAAGACTAGTAAAAAATAATAGATTTTCTTATTATTGACTGAAAAACTTGTATTTTTTTATTATAACATTTTTATTTATGTAAAATTAAATTGTTGTTTATAGGAAAATTTTCTCCATTATAAATTTTTTAATTAATTATTATTTTATTAATTCATTTTCTTATATTAAATTTATCACAATTCCATTATTGATGCTCCATTGCCTACTAAATTTTAATATATTAGATATCGTATATAATTTACTTTTGACTAGGAAACCTTAAAACATTGTTTATCAATCATCTCTTTGATTGTTAAATTTTGATTTTTTATAAATTAACTGACATAATATATTGTGTATACTCCACAATCAAAAGAATTCTATTGTTGACTTAGAGTAACATCATCCTTATCTTCAACATGAAATTGATATTTCATTAATAGTTTTTTCATTTAAAATTTGAGCGGCTCTCTTGTATCATTTAACGAATCAATTATATATAATTTCTCATTATCATATACAACTGATAAAAAGTGACTTCTATCTAAATTAAGATAAAACACAATTCTCATATTTTTCTTATTACTTTATACTTTCTCTTAATTACAAGACTCCTAGTGTTTTAGAAAAGCTTCTTAAAAAATTCTAAAATAATGATTTATAATTATACAAATCATTTATATCATCGTTTTTAGTAATCATGCTTCCAAAGATATCTTGACATTAACTGCAATTTAAAAATAAAGTTTTCATTTTATTACCTTATTTATTTTGATTTATTATGTTTGAGTAATTTACTAAAGATATTTATTGTTGAAGCAAAATATCAATCAAACTTGAATTGATCCATCCTCCTGGTCGAAGAGAACTTAATTAAAAATTATTTATTCCATATTCATTAAAATTTAGTAATACGCAAGCTGGGTTTTAATTAACATTATATACTTATTATGCCCATTCTGGAATCTAGTTATATTTTATGTTATTTTTATAATATTCCTACCTACTTCCAATTTTGGAGAATTCTTTTTCTCTATTTTAGTAATTAATCAATTTACAATCAACAAATATACCTTATTTCTAATTTGATTCATACAAACCTCTGAAAAATGTTTAGAATTACTAATTTAATTCATATCCTTCCCCATGTTTTTACCCATTTTTGAAAGATCCATAAAAAATTAAGATACACCCTATATATATTCTATTTTTTTTCCCCTCAAAAAGACCATTCTTAAATCCTCCTTTCATGATTAATTCATGTTAATTGTTTGTTTACATAATACCTTCTGTTTCTTCATTATAATCATAAGTTTGTGGTTCAAAGTAATCATTCACAGGGCCTGTATATGTAAGAAATCCAATATATTATTTTAATTCTTAATTAAAGTTATTTAAATGATTATATGATTGTACTTAGAAATTATAACTTAACCAAAGCGGACAAAGGTCAGTTTAATTGTTTGGAAACCAAATTTTTCCTATAATTCTATTCAATAATTGAAAATAAATACAAATTGCCATTTGGTTAAAGAATTAATGATTAATTTAAATAATTAGGCTTTTTATGATTCACAACTTTAACCAATTATACAAATTGAATTTATTCTTTTCTCAGGCTACTTTAAAACAATCTCTCTTTCTGTAATTTTTCTAACATTTTTTTTCCCTCTTCTTTTTATTTCTTTTACTCAATTAATTTGATGTTTTATTTAAGATTGAGGCATGCACTAATTCTTGGAAAATCATTTAAGAATTCTTTATCTGATTTTGGCAGCCCAAAATTGAAATCATTTGGTTCATTTTTCAGTTCAGCCCATCTTTCTAATATTGATTTACAGTTTTCTGTTAAATGAGCTCCAATGTTATCAAAATCTTTTTTATAGTAAGTCTGTTATAAAATGTCAAACTTTTCATTTGGAATGCAAAGTTTTAACTCTTCATTTTCAAATAAAATACCAGTGGAATTCATCAAGGCATAAATTTTTCTCTAATCTTTATATTTTTTAACCAAAATTAATAGAAATAAAAAAACATGTCTAAGAATATGTTAATGCTCTAAAAATGCCTTATTTTAATTATCAATCTCACTTATGGTTTGACATTTTCGAAAAAGCCATATAATACCATTAATTTATTCATCTCTTATTTATGTAGTAAAATAATTAGTTTTTGTTAGTGATTATTCATTCTAAGTTTTATAAATATAAGTTCCTTTATTTTATTCAAAAGCCCAATCAACATATTGCTAAAAATTAAATGGCTCTTTAATCTCTGTTCCCATAGTTTTTTACCCTTCACTCATCGATTATAATTTAATACAAAAAAAAAGAAAATATAATTATTTGAAAATTTTAAATCAAACTTTTAATCTAATAAAGTCTTAGTTTGAAAAAAATTTATTTTAGTGTGAGGATTGCCTATTTAAATTTTGAAATATTTTTTTAATGTTTAGAATTTTTTAATTAATATAGTAAAACATAAAATTAAAAATAATAGCCAGAATGTTTAGCAATTAATTTTAATAATTTTTTATTTACCTGTATGATTTTTATAATTTATCATATTTTCAAATTATTTCTTTTATAACATTTGTGACCCCGTTCTAGAAGATATTGATGTTTCAAAAGCAAGCAAAAAGACAAGCAATATTTATTTTTTGAAGAGTTCACATCATAAAACACTTGAAAAATGAGAGAAGTTATATCTATTCACGTAGGATAAGGAGGTATTTAAGTAGGAAATGCATGTTGGGAATTATTTTGTCTAGAACATGGAATTCAACCAGACGGCCAAATGCCATCAGATAAAACAATAGGAGGGGGAGATGATGCTTTCAACACATTTTTTTCAGAAACAGGTGCAGGAAAGCATGTTCCACGATCTGTATTTTTGGATTTAGAACCAACAGTTATTGATGAAGTAAGAACAGGAACTTATAGATAATTATTTCACCCAGAGTAATTAATCTCAGGAAAAGAAGATGCTGCCAATAATTTTGCAAGAGGACACTATACAATTGGAAAAGAAATAGTTGATTTGTGTTTGGATAGGATAAGAAAATTGGCTGATAATTGCACTGGTCTTTAAGGATTCTTAGTGTTCCATACAGTAGGTGGAGGAACAGGGTCTGGGCTTGGATCATTATTACTAGAAAGACTATCAGTTGATTATGGCAAAAAATCAAAATTAGGATTTACAATTTATCCTTCACCTTAGATATCCACAGCCGTTGTAGAACCATACAATTCAATTTTATCCACTCATTCTTTATTAGAGCATACAGATGTTTGCGTTATGTTAGATAATGAAGCAATCTATGATATATGTAGAAGAAATTTAGATATTGAAAGACCAACATATACAAATTTAAATAGATTGATTGCTTAAGTTATTTCATCTTTGACAGCATCTTTAAGATTTGATGGTGCTTTGAATGTGGATATTACAGAATTTTAAACAAATTTAGTCCCATACCCTAGAATTCATTTTATGCTTTGTTCTTATGCACCTATCATTTCTGCTGAAAAAGCATATCATGAATAATTATCAGTAGCTGAAATAACAAATTCAGCATTTGAACCAGCAAATATGATGGCTAAATGTGATCCTAGACATGGTAAATATATGGCTTGTTCAATGCTTTATAGAGGAGACGTTGTTCCTAAGGATGTAAATGCAGCCATAGCAACTATTAAAACAAAAAGAACAATTTAATTTGTTGATTGGTGTCCAACAGGGTTTAAAGTTGGAATTAATTATTAACCACCAACAGTTGTACCAGGAGGGGACTTAGCAAAGGTTATGAGAGCAGTTTGCATGATCTCTAATTCTACTGCTATTGCTGAAGTGTTTTCTAGATTAGATCATAAATTTGATCTTATGTATGCTAAGAGAGCATTTGTTCATTGGTATGTTGGAGAAGGAATGGAAGAGGGAGAGTTTTCAGAAGCCAGAGAAGATTTAGCAGCACTTGAAAAAGACTATGAAGAAGTAGGAATTGAAACTGCAGAAGGAGAAGGTGAAGAAGGAGAAGCATGATAGATTATATTTTCTACCTTATATATCCACAAAACATTTAAAAAATTTTTATAATATATGAGAGAAATTGTTTCCTTTCATTTTGGATAAACAGGAGTCTAATTAGCTACCCCATTATGGTAATTGTATTGCTAAGAACATGGAATCAATTCTGATGGATAAATTTCAAAAAACTCACAAATTTAACAGCACGACTCTAATAAAAATATTTTATTTTCTGAAACAAAGGATGGAAGGTTTATACCCTTAGCTTTTCTAGCTGATAGTGATTATTAAAATGTTAATTAAATTAAAAAGGGATAACTTAACAAATTGTTTTCAACTAATTTTCTTTAAGAAATTAATGAAGATTCAGGGAGTGTTTGGATCTCTTGCTAGGAAAAATCAAAAGTTTCACAAATTTTTACATAACAAATTTATAAAATATTAGAAAGATGTGATTCTTTATAAGGAATAATGATATATCATTCTGTAGGTGGAGGTTTTGGAGGAAGTTATGCATCATATTTATTGTCCTAATTTGAAGATGATTTTTCGAAAGTAATTAAATCAACTGTTTCTTTTTTATCATCAGATTAGAACTCTTCTTCAACAATCGTTGAGCCATATAACTCTGTTTTCACAATAAATCAATTAAAAAAATTTTCTGACTTTAATATTTTTATTGATAACCATGCACTTCTTAAAGTTTGTGAGAACTAATTAGATTTAGATTAGGCAAATTATGATATTTTTAATAGAATGATTACTTAGATGGTATCGTCAATTACATCGTCATAAAGATTCAATAAAGATCAATTCATAGATCTTTTGGATTTGTATTAAAATTTAGTTTAACTACCGCAATTACAATTTTTACATAGTTCATTTGCTCCTTTTATTTCAAAAGATAAAGAAAATACTAAAATAATTACTTTATCTTCAATTTCGGAATCCCTTTTTAATGAAGTAGGATCATTTATGAAATATTCGCCAGATCATTTAAAATATTTTGGAGCTAATTTATTTTTTTAAGGAGATTGTTCTTATTAAGAAATATAATCAACTATAACTGATCTTAAATCTTTTAAATCGATTAATTTTGCAGACTGGGTCCCATTCAATTATCAAATAGCCTTCAGTTAAAAAAGCACTATTTAATTTCCAAATTGTGAGTTAGGTAGAACAAGTAAAACTGCTTGTTTAGTTGCTAATTCTTTACAAATATTGAACCCTATGAAAAATATTTAATCTAGGTTTAAAAATTTGTATTAAAGAAAGTGCTTCCTTCACTGGTTTTTAACAAGAACTGATATGAAAGAATCATAATTTCAAGAGGATTTAGAATTGTTTTCCTCTTTGATTCTA